CACCAAAATATTCTCTGAAATATTTTTCGTTTCTTTAGTATTAATTCTCAGATCATCTTTGCTCAATTTATTATTAATATTCATCCCATTAGGAATTTTTGCTTATATTTTTAATTGGCCTTCAGGATGCATTTTCTTTTTCAATTGCTTAGCAATTATTCTTTTGGCAAATTTGTTAAGTTTTGTTACTGAGAATATTTCTTTAAATGCTGGTCCAGCTATCGCAGGGTTATTAAATGCAACTTTTAGCAATGTAACAGAATTAATCATTTCTATTTTTGCTTTGCATGCTAAAGAAATAAAAATAGTTCAGTCTTCGATGTTAGGATCGATTATTTCAAATATTTTATTAGTGTTAGGGACATGTTTTCTTGCAGGAGGCATTAAGTATAAGATACAAAAATTTAATCAAACTGCTGCTCAGACTAGTTTGAGTTTGATGACCTTGGCTTGTATAAGTTTAATAATTCCTGCTACATTTAACATTTCTTTTAGCAATGACAATAAAGAAACTTTGGTATTTTCTCATATAACTGCAATAATTTTGTTATTAGTTTACTTTTTTTTTATTTTTTCAATTAAAAACATATAAATACTTGTATGATGAGGAACAATTTTTGATCCAAGATAAGAAACAAGCTGAAGTGCCACAATTATCTCTTATATCTTCTATTATTTTTTTAATCATTATAACTGGTCTTATTTCTTTATCTTCTGAATTTTTAGTTAATTCATTTGAAAAAGTGGTAAAAACTCTTGGTTTTACAGAAAATTTCATTAGATTAATAATTTTGCCAATCATTAAAAATGCTGCTGAGATATTATTTATATTATTATATTTTTTTAAACCATTTTTATAATAGAAAATGTTTTGTAGCATGTCACTGCTGTTATTGTAGCAAGAAAAGATAAAATAAATATAGCAATTAATATAGCTATTGGTTCTTCTATGGTAAGTTAAGTTTATTAAACTTTTAGATTTAATATTCTTTCTCAAAAATTGTGATTCTTTATTTGCTAGCAAGTCTCATTATTAATTACACCAATTTTGGTAATATTGGGTTGGATTATAAATCAACAAATGAGTTTGTTTTTCAATTCATTTGAAACAATTATATTGTTTATTTCAGTTCTAATAACCAATTATATTATTCAGGTGACTATTTTTTATCATATAAATTAGTTTATTTTTGGTTTTTTAATAAATTGTCATTTCATTTATTTTAGATAAACTAGAATATATAGATTTCATTTATTTTAGGTAAACTAGAATATATAGTGTCTGTAATTTTTGTTAAATTTTGTCAAAAATAGATCTCGATTAAAGTTACAAGTAGAAAAAATATATAAATGAACAATTAAAATCTGTTTTTTAATATATAAAATTTACAATTTAACTTTTAGAGCACTGATATTTAATATGTAATTTTTTAGAGTCGTTGTACTGAAGAATTTTTTACTTTTAATATACAGTATAGTAAATGATTATCACAATTCTGCCAGTCAATTGAAAGATGGATATCAGGGGCAGTATAGTTATACATAAGGGCTGTTAGTATGGCAGAGTTAGGGGCTTCACACTTGATGGATTTTTGAAAAAAAAAATAAATAAATAAAATAAAATAGAAAACTGGTCTAACTGGGGCATTTTTTCGAGATGATATGATACTACTGACTTTTACAGGTTTTGCATACCAAGTTCGTACAAACTGACAGTCAAATTTATACAAACTAACAGTCAAATTCATACAAACTGACAGTCAAATTCATACAAACTTGGTATGTATATTCTCTTGATTAGAGGTATAAACTAGTTAATTAAAAGTTTATTTATTAAACTAAATAGTTTATTTAATTCACATTTAAGTTTTTTTAAAGAATCCTTTATTGCTGTTTAATCTATTTTATAGATTTGTAGAAATTAGTACATTAAAAAATGTTCAGGACAGATAGGTTGGTTTATTAATTGATTATTATATACTCTTGAATTTTAATAATTTAGGTTTATTTGTGTTTAGATTTGTCAACTTTGATTAAGCTTTTTTATGAAAATGATTTACAAATAGATAAAAGGTTAGAGTTCCATTATTAAGGTGAATCGCTCTAATTGATTTTTAATATTGGTCCTTTGAAATTTTTAATTATTAAATATTTTCAAATTTCTGCTGATAATATTTATAACCATAAAAAATTCTAATAAAAACCTCTAGCCTCTATTGTCAAAGATCTTTCCACCTCGTATTATATTAATACAATATGATTTTTTCATACTCTTATTCTTTTTTCTCTTTTGATTGGATCAGCGAATTAGAGATAGTAAAGTAACTTTCTTAGTTTCAGTTGAATTCTCTCAATTATACTAAAATGTAATAGTTTGTTAAATTTAGATTAATGATTTATGCATTATGTTTCATCAATAAAACTGATTGAAATTTGCTATAATATTCATAATTAAAATTATTAAATTGATTTTTTCAATTAAAAAAAAACTAAAGAAATAAACTTTAATCTTCAATAAGAGATGCGAACTAGTATAATTTACAATTAATATAAATAAACTACTATTTACTCTCCTCGAATTATCAAGAAATGGCTGATTTCAAAGAGATTTTTAGGCCTTTTATTACTCTTTTCTCTCATGAACAATTACAAGCTGTCTTACTAGCATGGCTTCCTTCAAAACTCGAGACATAATTTTTTGGAATAATTGCTGTGGATATGTTTATGACTACTTTAATAGCTACTCTAATTACTACTTTGATTTATGCATCTTGTTCCTTACTACAAATTTTTCAGTTCAGAAATTCATTAACTGTGCAAATTGAATATTATGTTAAAGGTATTATATACTAGGAGTATGATTTTCTCTATCAATTAAACCTTTTGATGTTAAATCTCAAAACAAATTTTTAGGTATTTACGGTACTAAGAAAAAAAATCCCTTATATGAAGCTTTGTCGTGGATCATTTCACAACAAACAAAGAAGTTAGATAATGGTTCGTTTATTGTTCAACCTGCTAATAATAAAAAGTATGAAATATATGAAATACCAGATTTTATCATTTTGCCTGAAAAGAAACAACAAATTAGTATAGAGTACAGAGGTCGTAAATTCAACGTCATATATAAACTACAAGAAAATAACAAAAACAATAATCAAAATTATCCTAGACCTCAATTATACTATAAAGAATCTGATTCAGTGTCTTCTATTTTTTTATCAATTATCAATGATGGCCCAAGTCTAAATAACAGACTTGATGTTAATACAATTACTGAGTTCATTAGTGAAGTGACAAGTTTATATTTTAAAATGAAAGAAAAAATCACAAACGTGTATGATATAAGCGTAATGAAAGAAATTGGACTAGAGTTTAATTTTTATCAGACTTGAATAGTTTAGAAACTGTTGTTTTAGATGAACCAAAAGAAGAATTACTAAAAAAAGAATTAGACTCTTTTATTAATGACAAAGAGTTTTACAAAAGAATTAGTTTGCCTTATTGACATGGTTTTCTTTTATATGGTAAACCCGGAACTGGAAAAACTACATTGATAAATTCTATATCATCTTATTTGTCATGAGATCTCTATTATCTTAATTTTAAAAAAATTAAAAATGATAATGATATGAGCACTGCTTTTAGTTCTGTTCTATCGAATCAAATAATTGTTCTTGAAGATGTTGATACACAATCAAATATTCTTTTTAAAAGAGGTGTTGGCCAACCAAATTCTTATAATTTTATATTCGAAGATTTAATAAAAGACAATGACGATCTATACAAAATATAAGGACTTATTTTTATTTATTAGTTTATCTAATTTTCTTGGATATTTGGATGGGCAAATATTATCAGAAGGCACAATAATTATCATAACGACTAATCATATTGAAAAACTTGATCCCGCATGGTAAAAGATTAAATGCGCTTCTACTGATCTGATCTATATAACTTATTCCTCTATATTCTATTTTAGTATTCGCCCCAGTCACATGGACGTTCATTTGGATCTTGGATATTGTACGCATTACCAAATTAGAAAGATGTATCAGAATATTACCAATATGAATTTTTCAGAAGATATCTTAGAACAAATTTCAGAATTATTGTTACCCCCTTGCGATGTAATGATAACAATGATATCATATAAAACTAATTATCAGCTTATTCCAACTAAGATTCTTGAACTGGTTAAAAAATATTAACTTATTGATTATCAACTTTTTAATTTAAATACTATCCTATGTAAAATCAATTCAAATACAATATGTATAACAGGGAAAAGTTACAAAAATAGAAATTTGTAGTAAATATAATAATAATAATGATAAGAAGTTTCATAATTAATTTAAAAAACCCTATTTCTATTTTAAAATTCCAACAAGGGGAAATTAAGTAGACACACATGTTAATATAAATATTTACCGGTAAATGATTATGTAAACAGTAAGGATTTATGTATCGTAAATACTGTATATAAAAATTTGACAATTAATTAAAATAAATAAATAACTGTTTCAAACTATTTAAATCAATCTGTAAGAATTGAAATAAATAATTAAGCACTATCAAAATGTATAAACTGCATCAGAATGTGAATTCTACGGAGTACGTAGAATTCAAATAAAAAAATATATTTTCGTTCAAAGCTTTTAAAAAATAAAAACAAACTGTAGAATCTAATTAAAAAATTTCATTCAATTCGGTAGGTTGAGATATTATCTAATTGGTAAGATAACGATAAATACAAATTATTGAATAAATTGAAATTATATTTTTATTGCTATAATGATAAGAATTACATCAAGAATTTATTGTTAATAAACAATCACTTTTACTTGTATCTGTATGCATATTTAAATCAGTAATTTTTTTAAAAGTATTAGTTACTTTTTATTCCCGTGTTGAAGCCTAAAAAAAGAAAGATAATTAATCATTTCTTCCAGTATAATAACACATACAAAATTATACTTTTTTCAAAATTAATTTAAAATAAAAAAATCATCATTATAATCTCTTATAACTTTTCACATGATTTCGAGGTCCCATGGGACCTTGAAAAAAATCGGATTTTTTTTTGTTTTTGTATAAGCTTATATTTTTGTTTGTTTTTTTGTTTCTGTATTATTAAAAGAAAACCGGTATATTGTTATACTTATATAAATTAAAGATGATATTCAAATTCAAGTTGAA